GGGAAACAGAGGCGCGTGCGAGGGTTTTCTACGAATATAATACACAAACCTGCTTCAACAAAAGAAAAGTACCAGGCGGAAAAGGAATTTAATAAAAGCTGACAAGCCATGATAGGGCGGTCGGGGTGCCACCCGTCAAATAATCACATCGTGCGCGGTAATTGATAGACAAAGCCATAGTAAACCTAGGAAAAAAGTACGTCGGCATAAGGTTGTCAAGAAGGCAGACAGAGCACGTGGGGTGAGACGACAACGGGAGGGGGAGGGCAGTTAAAATATCGCACCTTGAATGGCTCGTTTGTGAAAAAGGGAAGGCGACATGTCACGAGGTATCTTTGCAAAATCACTGAGTATTTGCAAAAAAGGAGCACATAATAAAGAAGCTAGAGGAAAAAAGAGGAGAGATTATACGAAATCGATGAGGAGCCGTTTGAGGAATGGGGAAACAAGATAAGGGGGCGTATATAGTAAGTGGCTAGGGTTTGGCCCAAGCGTCAAAAGCCTTGCTGGCCTACTGGGACTGGGTTGGCCTACCACAAAGCCCTTGAAGCTCCACCTGGCGGTTGGTGTGTTCGGATGGTTGATCGCGCAGGTACAGTATCGTCGACTTGAGAACCTGAAAGAACACCATTCGATGGTAAGGGATCGAAGGGAAAGAGGGTGTGAGGGGATGCTGAAGGCGTTAACTGGAGCCAGCCGAACGTGCGAATCGTTCAGTAGCTGGGCTATACGAGAGGCAGTTGAATTATATTGCAATACATATACCCGATTTTTTCGGTAAAAATGACTAAAATACTCAAAGGCAGGCAGACAGGCAGAAGATAAGGATAAAACTGGCTAAAAGATACTCCTCACTAAGAGAAATAAATGCCACGAAACCACCTTTTTTAAAAAAGTCCACAAAATATGAAAACTTTGCATACGTGGAAGGCAAGGTAACCATTTTTTTGCTCAACTATCTGACAACAGTATTTGCGCTAAGAGTGAGGCTAAGGAACTCTGAGACCCAGGGCTAAAGTAAAAAAAGACTTGAAAACCGACTTCGCCCCTAGCAGCCGTTGGAAGCCTGGGCGTGAAGTCCTACTTTACGATACAGCTTCCGCAAATCCAAGAAAGGAGCTGTGTGATCTATCGATAATGTGATAACACAAACTAATAGAACCTACGATACCGACAGTAGTAAAAACGTCTTCAAAAACAAGAAAAACACAGTAAACGGTAAGCTGACTTTAGACTCTTGCAAGACTAGGCCGGAGTGATTTGAAATGCGTCGAAAGCAACCTTGAGAGACTAGCAACTGGAAAAGAAATTAACGGCAGTGTTAACGTCAGCCTAGGTGGGAATACTGCTTGCCATTAACTTGCTGCCCCACGAATAGGAAGTCAAAGTCCGAGTGATTTTCGTATATGTACACATGTTAGAGCACATTGGTGATCGTAAACAGGGAAACGTGGATCAGCCACCAACAGGACATCAAACAGACTCCCACTGATAAAGAGGGTTTAGTTATACCAGTTCTGAGGCAGTGACAGGACATATTACGATAAAATGCCAAACTGGTTGGACTTACCGCTCAGACTGAAACTGGAGTCCTGCATGTTGCGTCCGCCGGCACTCGTAGGCGGACGCTTGTGGCTGAAGGGCTGGTTTTGATCAACTTTGCCGTTGGTGGAAGCGTCCTTGATATCGGCAGCTTGCAGAGCAGCGCCTAGATCGGCAACGGGGCCTGTGTAGGGTTCACGTGCGACGGGAATTCGCTCACGCAACTAAAATTTAAGGAGTATAAGGCTACTTATGAATGCCAAGTGCAAACCGTCCGAGAAAAACTAATTGGAAGCTTTATATTAGGGAGACTAACGCATTGAAGAATCTAGACAAACCTTTTGCCTTCCTTCGACTTTCGCATAGACGTAGGGTGAGAAGGGTGGGGTGGGCACAAAACGGCCAGTTCCTTGGCTGACCTTTAGGTCACCCTCTTCCAGGACGACATGGCCATTTGTAATCACTATCAGCGGGACACCATGGCAACGCATTCCCTCGAAAATGTTAAAATCAACGTTCTGGTGATGGGTCGAGGCAGAAATAGTACGCTCAGCTTCAGGATCCCAAACCACAATGTCTGCATCACTTCCCACCTCGATGCGCCCTTTACGCGGATAAATGTTGAAAATTTTCGCGGCGTTGGTGCTTGTGATGGCAACGAACTTACAGGGGTCAATAATACCGGAAACCTATGAGGGAAAAGGAGACGAAAGGAGAGGTAAGTTCTTAAATCCAGTGAAAAATTTAGCCTAACAAAAATCATAGCCCGTGAACCAGACTCTTCAAACGAGTGGTTCCGTACGAAACCCACCATACCGCAATACGGTTCCACGGTCTGATAAAATTGCATAAGGCAAACATTTCGTCTAGGGGGGGGGCTTATGACATGAGAACACTTGAGAATATCGTACAGAAAGTAACATATTACACGACTTTGAATAAATTATGGGCACCGCTGCGAAAGTACTCAAGGATGAAAAGCCGACTAGGCGAGAATCATTACCTTAACATTGCGTACGTTGACTTTTTGTTACAGAATTTACCACTTTGCTGTTGGGTAGTCAGGTGATGGAGCTCAACAAAATATTCTGGCAAGGCGAAGACACCACTGGCTTCGAAAGGGAAGCATAAGCATCAAGTTTTGGATAATGCTTTGGGAATATACAATTTTCAACGAGGTAGTAGAGGTTACATTTTGATGAGAGGCGTTTTCTCCCAACTCCGGAAGGCAACTTCGCATTTCGTTACAAAGATTCCGACCACACAGACAACAGTAAAAGTAGAAAACGGACAGTCAGGATTCGTCAAATGTTAACGCCCTTCCTGAGGACGAGAGTAGAAGATAGAGTAAACGACGTAGATTTGCGTAACACGTTTTCAACGCTGCTCTCGAGAACCAAAAACCTCTGACGAGAACAACCCCCGTGACAGTGCAATTTTAATGCAGAGATAAAGTACTATGTCAAATTAAAAGCAGCATTTTCGCTTTCTCGGATCCTCAAACCTCGCCATCTCTTATTGAATCCGTCCGTAGGGATTCAGTGGACCATCGGGGTTTATGAGAGCATGTCATAGAAATAAACTCGCCAGCCGGCTGCTATGAGAGCGATGATTTATGTGATGAACGTGCAGCATTACGCTTACTAAATCCGTTATCACCGCTGCTAAAACTGTCCTTGAAAAGCGCTATATACACAGTTTTTCATATAAGCGACCATAAAATACGTCAAAGTAGTACTTTTGTGGGTACATTGTACGGTAGACGATTGCCGGGTAAACAAGCAAATGCGGTGAGAAGAAAAGGTCGCACAAATATACTATAAATTAAAGAGTCGAAGTAAATTTGAGATACAGAGAACATGAGATATGCTGCAGGAGGAAAATAGAAAAGCACGCAAGTTTTCCAATGGGGAACTACGCCAACTACTCACGCGTGATCTACGACCAACCTGAGACAATAATCAGGCGAGTGTAAAAGCAAAAGGCGATAACCTAAAAGTGCCTTCAAAATGTAAATAAACAGATAAAATCTAATAAAAAATATCAAGTGTCAATGACGCTTACCACACCCTTTTCCCAGATAACGGACATTCGGTCCTCAACACCATTGACGCCATTAGGAATTTTGCGGAAATCGTCCTTCCCGAGGGCTTTTTGGTCAGCCTTAAATACGCAGTGGTCAGTGCCCGTGCACTCGAGATGACCATTTGCTAGAGCCTTCATCAGGAGTTTTGGAGTTTCGGGATTCATTTTCAGCGGCGGACTCATTACAAAGCCTGCGGCATGGCGCCAACATTTGTCAAAGTAATGGCTTCCGTCGGCGCCAAGGCCAGCAGCAACTGCCTCCCCGATTACAAGAACGCCATCTTTGCGAGCTTCGGCAATTTTATTTGCAGCAAGGGAACTCATCACGTGCACAACATACAGTGGACAATTGGCAGCGTCAGCCAAGGTGATAGCACGAGAAGTTGCCTCAACTTCCACCTTCGTAAGCAAAATAAAACATTCTGGTCAATAAATCTGTTCTATAACGCTCTTGTGGGGGGAAGATAAATAAAACCCGTTACAACAGCTAAAAGTTCATTGTAAAGTTGAAAGCAAATTGGAAGCATCGGCTAATAAATGTGGCCAAGATTTGGTCAATTAAACCGACGAAAAGCACCAAGGAAAGGCTTGCAGTCGATACCGGCTACATTAGTATTTAATAAATGAATGTTGGCAAGGGAGTTATAAGTTTTAAAGGGCTCAAGAAGCCCAAAACAGGGTACATGACATGCGTTGCACGCTTAGTTTTGGATAAATAAAGCATAGTCACACACAACAAGCTCCAACAAAATATTGCAATCTTTTAAGAC